ATAGATGTGTTTACCAAACACATTGGCCCTACTACTATATTTGCTTGTACGGAATTTTAATATCACAGCTTAATAGAGTTATAACCAAATAACTTTTGAAGTTTTATGTCAGCTGCCCGAACCAGTATCCTGATCATGTCCAATTTAAATAGGGTTTTGGCATTTACTAAATAAATCATTTGTGACAATTTGGTGAACTTAGCTCAATTAATTTTTGAGTTATCGTTGTTAATTTTCTACTTATCTCCCCCCCCCCCCCCCCCACCCAACTCTAAAAGTTATAGCCCCCAAAGGCCTTAAAATACCAATAACAAATGAAAGTAATTTGAGTATGGGCATTAATTGCCTTTAATAGCATATTTTCATTTGTTGAAGGGAAAAGTGCTACATTACAAACCATGGATTCGGATTAATTTTATTTTTATTTTTGTTTAAATAATAAACCACACCAATAGTTCTGTACGTGATCTGTTTATATCTCCTTCCCGATGAATTTATTTCGAAAACGTGAGTGGTGAATTTTTCACACCAACCTCTGAAAGTTGTGTGATACAAGAATTTTCGGAACTCTTACACTTAATTACATTTTTCAGGATTTATTTCATATGGCCTTTTTAGTTATTTGTTCTTTGCTTTCCGTTACTTTAAAAATTTTTGCACTTTCCTTAACTTGTAATAGTAAAAAAAATTTAGTAATTGATAAATTAAGTCGTGTACGTATCATAAATTTATTTTAAATTCCATAATAACATTGTACCTTAAACAAAAACACTTAAATTGTTTTTTTTTTTGTAATTCACCTGAATTTTTCAGTTCATATTTCTAATTGAATACTTAGCTATAAAATTATAATAATTAGATTACAATTGAAATATTTTTAATCTTCTACCAGTAATCCTTTGGTGTTCTTCTATATATTGAACTAATTAAAATTTAAATTGAAATTTTTATCAAGATTCTATACACGGCTGTTATTTAATGTACTTTAACAAATCTTTCCAAATATAGCATAAATGTTCTTATGTATGATGAGTGACCTAGTATATTTTTAGTACTTTTAGTATATTAAAATCAAAATTTTAATTAAATTTTTGTGCACAATTTCAAAGTCACAAAAAAAAAATAGTGTGCCGTCGCGTCGCGCACACAAAATAAAAAATAGTGAAGAAATGCGTAATAATTTACAGTTAATTTTTTCTTTCATTTTTAATTTTTGTTTTTCACATCGAAAGTCTCATTGCGTAGGAATTTCCGAACTAATTTTCTTTCTTTTCATTTTCAAAAAAAAAAAAATAATAATTGAGTCACAAATTAATAATATACACACACTGAGCACACATAAAACCATGTGAATGAATTCATTTAAAATTTCTTAAATATACACTTTTTGTACATACAACAATTTCATTTAATATTCTAAAGAAATGATTTTTGTTTACAATCAATAAATCATTTTATAACGATGTGTGTACCTACTTGCATATATAAAATTTTAATGTCTCCCCCACTTTTTCCCGCCTTTTTATCATCTTTTTTTTATTTTATTTTTTTGTTATATTGTTCAATACTTTCGTTCTACTTTTTTCTTTTGTATCATTATTAACAGTTTATTAAGACTTTAGAAAACATCACATCACCTATTCATCATGTTTTCATTCAGATTGTTGACACAAAGATTAAAATATTCTTCTCGTACAAGTTAAAAGCTTTAACAAACAATCAATATAATTTTTTGAAGAATTAAAAAATAATATGAAAAAATTTATAGAATATATTAAAAAAATTTAAAAGTTTGTCATATTCGGTGGTACAGGAGTGTTAAAGAAATGGCATAAGTCCAAATATAAAAAATTTTATTTGAAATTTTTGAATTACCTTTACAAAAATATTACGAGTACAGATATCTACCCATAGAATAAGTAAATTTAATTTACATATGTAGGAAAATTTGTTATGGTTATTTTTTCGTTTGACTTAACTTTTCCTTTGCTTAATGCATTTAGAAAAAGCAGCATAGCTCCTGTACAATTAAAATTACGATTCAAATAATCCCAACTGAAAGCGGAAAAAGGCAATGCAATATTTCATTTTTGAAAGGTATCACTTTTTTAAATCGGGATGATTCACTTCTCGCAAATGAAGAATTTGAACTACAATAAAGTTTAGCTAGTTTCGTAGAACAAAATAAATTTTTTACTATAGGATATTGAAAAAAAGTTTTTGGAAAATCAATGCCAAGAACTTAGTTTTCAGTAATTAATTATAAATTATTACTTTTTATGTTAAGTCTTCTTAACCAATTGAGGCTAAGTTTTCCTTTCAGCTCAGATTCATTTTTATACTCAAACTAACAGATATTTCACGAATTTCATGATTTTATTAATTTGTATGTAAAATTTAACTTTAAAATTTTCTGTTACACATACATATTTGCAAAAGAATTAACCGACCTCTTCTTCTTCTTATATCCTGTAAATCACTACAATAATAAAAAATACATTAAAACTCAATTATTATCTAAATATTTAATATTTGAAAATATTATAAATTTTGAATTTCAATATAACCATACGTACCATATATGTATGTACATATAAACATTATTTTCCATTTTAATAAATAAAGAATTTATTTTTTTAATGCAATCTTATAAATATTCGTTTTTAGCCGTGCAAATATTTACTGTTGCGAAAATTTAAACCCTGTATTTTAAGTAATTTTTATTTCAAATGGACTCAAATATAAGATTCGCTTAAAAATGGTGTAAAAATTTCGCATAAATTTTTTTTTATTTAAAAAAATTTGCTTTTGTAATTTTTTTTTTTTTCAAAATTGTTTTCTTTAAATTCAAATCATGAAACACATCTCTATTTTATTTTTATTTTTATTTGTCTAATTGTCTTTTGTATTGATCAACAGTAGAGCGCTGACAGAGAAGAAGACTTCATTTTTGAATGCTGCCAAAAAGACAACCAACAATAATAATAAAATTATATTTGAAAAAATGATTTCCTGAAATTCTCAAACTTTAATTTTGTTTTAAAGAATAATATTGTGAGTTAAAAAATTGAGGAGATCATGGTAGAATAATATCGGGTTTCCTCTTTTTATCGTACCCAAATTTTATCCTGCTACGTTCAATCACGTGAGTTTCGTATTAAAATTTTTATTGCCAAAAATCGAATTAATAATTTCTATTACTAACAATGTCATGTCACTCACTTCTTTTTTGTAATTTTATATTTTCCGTAATAATTAATCTTATAATTGTTATCTCTTTTATTAACACTCTGTTACTGTAACTCTGTTCTTGTTTAAATTATTATAATCTTGCTAAGCTTTCATCTGATAGTCATATTTTGTTCGTTTAATTAATTTGTCTAATAATAAGGATTGTTCTAGGTATTGGAAATGGTATGCTGTAACGTCTATAGTTTCTAGGAATTTAAATTATATTTAAACTTATGGTTATATAATAGTGGTATTGCAGCTCAACTCTTTTTTGTTTTTCCTTGTTTTTCCCGTATAACTTAATCAAAAAATTTTTTGTGTCTTTAAACTCTAACCCCTACTAATACTCCACCATTTCCTATTCCGTCCTTATTAAATGATGACGATCTGGCTAAACCATCTGATAAGTCACATTTTCTGCATCTATATAGTGATTGTTTCGCCTCTTTCGTGCTATATCACTTACATAATAATACATACCGTTTAATTTTGTAAAATCTACAGTCAATCGACTTGTTTGAGAATAGGCTATTCAACAGTAAGTTGTGAAAATTAAGCCTGTAAACATAAAATTATGCCTCAGTTTTTCAATTTGATGTGGTTGTGTATTCTCATTTAATTCATAATTCAGGGAGCGAGAGTTCGGTTCCTATCATATCATATTTTACAATATAAAGATTAATTTTTGAAATTATATCATATTTTCAAATATTTCATTTTCGTACCGGCTTAGTTTGGTTTTAAATGAATAATACACAAGCACAATATGCAAAAAATATAGCTATTAGTATTAATAAATCTGTTAGACTCAATAGACCTTTGCTATGCAAAGCAGTAGATTTCAAAATCCCAACGCACAACCCATACAAGCATATTTTTTAGAGAAATTTCGTTCAGCCATCAAAAATGAATTGAAAAGAACTGTTTACTACTGAAGTTAACAAGTAATAAAGTAAATTTTTTTTTCATTGACTTGTAAATGTTTTTTATTTTGAAAATCCAAAAGAAAATAAAAAAAAATCTAAAAAGGCATTTATTTGATAGTAAATATGGTGCTAATAAGAGATTTTTTTGTTATAAAAATTTTATTACCTTCAAACCTAATTGATTTTTATTTATTTAAAAAAAAATTTATTATTGTGTACGTAAGAACGTATACATATGCATACATACATACATAAAAGCGTACGTTTTTAAGGATTTCTTTAATAATTTATTTCAAAAAATTTTTTGCAACTCAATTCGCATAAAATCACTGGCCCAGTTTTGTAAATAATTTTCAATGAATTAGTTCTTTAAGCATCAACATTATGAGGCATTAAAATATAACATTCATGATTTGAACTCTATTTAAGGTCAGTCTTAGTAGAAAACCATAAAAACTGTAACCTAAATTAAATTAGTTTGATTTAAATATTAGAATGTCAATACTTAATTATAGATTTCAGAATAAATTATTCAAATTTTAGAGGCATACCTACATGACTTCAGTAAAACTAATTTCCTTACAGTTGCTTTATGTTTTATTATATCTAGATACATACATAAGTATGTAAGTATACATATATATTAATTTAATTTTTGAGAAAATAAAATTAATTTTGTTCAAATTTTGAATGAATTTCGGTATGTACGACGTATTATGTTTGGGCTTTCATTTAAAATTGTACAACGACAAAAATTCCACCCACACAAAAAAAAAAAAAATGAAAGAGAAATTCAATTTTTCAGAATAAAACAAAATTCATAGTAATGTAATCTTTTCATAGGCATAGATCATAATGCAACGACACACTCTAGACGTGCTCGAAATATAGTTTTTGTGCGACGATCATGGTTGGATTCATTAGCGGAAGGAACACCATGTTTAACTGCATCAGGCGTATTTGGACGTTGTACAGCCTTTAAAACATGTTATCCACAGGGAAAACCATCTGGAGGAGTTATTTTTAATTCCTGGTATCGACAATTTGAGCAATGTTCATATTTTAATTCTGGTGGACAACAATTTATTGGAATCTGTTGTATTGAATCAGAACAATCAATTCTTTCACCACAATTACCAAATAATGAAATTGATGAAAACTACAATGAAATTTATAATAATGTAGATATTGCTGATGATAAGAGATATGAAACGGTATTTAATTTTAGTTAACAAGCATTTTAACAAATATAAACACTTACAAAATCTTTTTAAAGGTTTTGTCTCAATGGCCACCAATTGGTGTTCCTACGCACGCTACTAGAAAACCAGGAATAACGACACGTAAGCCAGGTAAATAAAATAATTTCAAAAAAGTATTTTACAATTATTGTATGTGAATTCAAATTTATTTATTTTTTTAGCACATTTTCAATGGCCTCCACCAATTCCAACGCATCCACCTAATCATGCAGCTCCAACGCATCCACCACTTGGAGATAGAACTACAAAAGCACCTTGGCAGACATCAACAACAAAAGTGCCTTGGCAAATATCAACTACAAAATCACCTTGGCAGACATCAACTACAAAAGCACCTTGGCAAACGTCAACAACAAAAGCACCTTGGCAAACGACAACCAGAAGAGCACCGTGGCAATCGTCAACTACAACAAAAGCACCATGGCAAACATGGCCGACTACAACTAGAGTTCCATGGCAAACTTCCACAACCAAAGCACCATGGCAAACAACAACTAAATCACCATGGCAAACTACAACAAGACGATGGACATCAACTTTAAAACCACAAACTACAACACGTTTTCCAGCGCAATGGCCACCACCAATTCCAACACATCCACCATCTCATTATCCCGTGCAACCAGCAGAGCCTCCATCATCTGTCGACACTTCCCATGATGACAGTTTCACAATCCCTAATGCTGCATGCGGTTTAAAAAATGCTGGATTTCAGGATGAAGATCAACAGAGAATTGTCGGTGGCCAAAATGCAAGTCCAAATGAATGGCCCTGGATTGTAGTTATGTTCAACAATGGTAGACAATTTTGTGGTGGTTCTATTATTGATAATATTCATATTCTAACAGCTGCTCATTGTGTTTCCCAGTAAATTATCTTGGAAATTACAATTTAAAATTAAAAAAAATTATTTTGATTAAGATTTTTTTATTTTACAGAATGTCAGCTTATGATGTGGCTCGAATTACAGTTCATCTTGGAGATCATGACATCCGAAATTCGTATGAAGTTCAGCACGTTGTTAGAAGAATAAAAAGAGTCGTACGACATAAAGGATTTGATTTTAGTCACTTGGTATATAACAACCAGTTAACGTTCTTAAATATACATACACATATATGCATATAATTGTTTTTGGTTTGTCTTGTAGCATAATGATGTAGCAGTTTTAACAATGGATCAACCAGTCCAATTTTCAAGTACTATTCGTCCAATATGTTTACCATCAGCATCATCAGCGAAATCATATAGAGGAATCATAGCCACTGTAGCTGGATGGGGTAGTTTACGGGAAAGTAAATATTAGAATTTGAATTATTACAAATGCGATAGCAATAGTTTAAATGACCTTTTTTCGTATACACTTAGATGGACCTCAACCATCAGTTTTACAAAAAGTCACAATTCCTATTTGGTCAAATGCTGATTGTTCAAGAAAGTATGGCAGTGCAGCTCCAGCTGGTATTGCGAATTCAATGATTTGTGCCGGACAAGCGACAAAAGATTCATGCAGTGTATATTAAAGATGTTGTTTTTTATTCATAAAACGAATTTAATTTTTTTTTTAATTTTTAAAGGGTGATTCTGGAGGTCCAATGATGGTTGACGAAGGTGGCGGTAGATGGGTACAAGTGGGTATTGTTTCATGGGGAATCGGATGTGGCAAAGGACAATATCCTGGAGTTTATTCTAGGGTATCATCATTCTTACCTTGGATTGCTAAAAATATACAATAAAACATATCGAATTAAACGCGACTTGAAGGCGCATTCAAATTGAGAAGACGTGATAAAAAAAGTTGAAATTTTCTTTAGTTTAGTTCTTGCAAAAGAAAAAAAATAAAATAAAAATTTTTTAAGAAATTGAGATTCTATTTTTTTGATACTGCATTTCCACGAATGAAGTCATTGTTATCCATGGAAGCTATTGGTAGAAGTTTCAAAAATAAAACAAAATTATTTTGAAACAAGCTTTATAGGCTTTATTAACTAATATTGTATATATATATATACATATATATTAAATTGTCTTTTAATATCAATAAATATTTGAACATCAACAACATAGCTAAGAATATATTTTGCCTTTTTTATCTTTTACATACTTTTGTATTATTTGTTTTAAGAGAATCAGTCGCAAAGTTTATTATAATTTTAATATTTATTTATGTAAAATATTGTAATAACAGCTTAATAGTAACCTTATAATAGTTTAAATTGGAAATGTTTTGCCTTTTCAATAAAATTTAATTAGTACAACAAATTTAAGTATATAATTCGGAAATAGATTAGCGATATTATTCATTTTTTTCTTTTTTATAATTTTTTTTTTAAAGATAGTATAAAATTGAGAAAAGTAATTAAATGTGTCGGGAATGTTTTAAGAGTAGTGTAGAAATAGAGTTAAAAATTAAATCTAATTTTTCTTACATAGAAAATAAGCAACTTAGCAACTTTCTTGTAGGAATTATTTCAGAATAATTCTTTATAACGTAGCAACTTTGAGATTTCGTCCAAAAATTAAAATCTCAACTAAAATACCATTTTATTCACAAAATTTTTACCAAACTCTAATTTAAATTTCAAGCTATATTCAAGCTATAGCTTAACTATTTAAATACTACATCATTAAATAATTCTTTCCAATTAACTTCTAACAAAAGGAAAATTTTTTTTTACTTTGTCCCAGACAAAATTTTGTTTGATATTTTTTAAAAATACTATTAGAAGAAACTGCTACTTCATTCTTCTCATTATATTAATGATATAATAAAGTTACCTATTACCTCAGAAACTCATAATCAATAATCTCATGTTCATTGTCTTATTTTTCTTTTCTTCTTTCTTTTAACATGCATCAACTTCTTCTGGACATGAAATATCACTTAATTCTTTTAAAATTTTGTATTCATCACAATCCTCACAAATTAGTCTTCCATTAGATTTATTTGCCCGCTGACACTTTTCATGACACACAATATGAACCAACTTCAAATTTTTAACACTGAATATTTCCAAAAAATATTCTAATACACTTATATCTACAACTTGTTTTCGTTTATGGATTTTACATTTTAAATTTGTTTCTTCAACCAGCTGTCGAATATTTTCAATTAAAGATGGTAAAATAGTTCTAGATAATTCAATTTGATGATCTAAATTCCATACTTGAAATAGAATTAAATTTTCTCTTGATGCATATGGATTTATTTGGTGTTTATTGTTGCAAATTGTATTACTTTTTGATGAATTATTACCATTACGATCTGTTTTATTTTCCTTTTTGCCAACGCCACTGCTAAATGGTCCGTGACAATAAAAATCACCACGCTCTGTACATAAAGAAACCGTCCATTCATCTAAGAGTTCAGTTTTGATTGTGTATTCCTTTATCATTTGTTTGATTTTTTTGTTAGGAACATTTGCACCTCTAGCATCGATTTCATCAAACTCTTTCAAAATTTCATGCTTTTTTGGGCAACTTCGATCAAATAACATGGAAAAATAATCACATCCAATTAGAAGGTAACGAAATTTTTCTAAAATTTTTTCAATGATTTGACGAGCTTTTGGGTTTGTTCGATACAGTTTACATTTCGTCAATTCATCTTTTGTTTTATAATAATAACCACGTATTCGATCTTGAGAGCGCCTTGCCATTGCTTCTTCTTTGGTTTGGCATCGATCTTCAGATCCCTCAAACCATTCAGAATGGTCAGATTTACGACTGAGCAGAGTTTTTTCATTGTTATTAATTAAAGGTTTACGTTTCTCGTATTCATTTATAATTTTTCGAAACTTCTCGGGATTCTTCTCTATAAAATCGTAAACAATGTCAGCAATTTGTAACATCGGTGTTTCTGCTTTCATTCTTTGATACTCCAGATCAGATTCTAAAATGAAAAATTTCTAAATTTATAAATATATTTATTGTAAAACCAAATACTAATTACCTGTCGTAACTTCTTCATCTGGACCAGCAACAACAAAAAGTGTTTGCGGTTCAACCGTTTCAAAATAATCTTCATCAGACACTTCGAAGCCATCCTTGGCCATATAAAGTCGTAAATCTTTTATCTAAAAATTAAGACATGAGTATTAAAAACTCGATCTTAATTATTTTAAAAATTTTTTAAAATAGTTACATATGTTAAAATAAATATGCAAGTAAATAAATAGGTCAAGACTAAAAATTAGTCAAAAAGTCAAGGTTCAAAATAAACTAGGTTGGTTAGATAGGTGGGTACATAACAGATTTTCAATGAAAGTGTTTCGGTCAAGGTCGTGCTTGCCACTTAAAAAAGAATGGAGTTGGTATAAAATGGAAAATATCAATCAAATTGTAAAAAAACAAAATTATTTTAATTCTTAAATGTCAATGAAATCCACAAAAAATATTTAAATGCATTGTTGTTGCACATTTACATATGTGTGTATGAATTTAAATGAATAGGAAAGTAGGTAAGTAGTTGGTTCCCATTCTAAATTCTCAAACTTGCAAATGTAGAATTGCAATTAAATGCAGAATCAAAATAAATTCATTAAAAAACAATGCAACAGGTAAAGTTATAGTAGGTACCTTGAAATTTGAATGGGAAATGAAACGGTCAAAAATATGCGGCTGCGCTTTATTAAACTTAGGATTTTTACTAGTATATAAATATGCTATTCAATGTGTAATATATCAAGGGGGAAAAATTGTATCTAAAGTATTGCCCTTGAAAATTTTTGCGAAGGACGTAGATAGGTACTTTAATTTAAAATTTAAAATTTCCTAATTAAATTAAGATCTATTTTATTTATAGAAATTTATAAACTTACAGGAAATTTCAATTTTGCTTTTTCTTTCAACATTTTTAAGGAATTCGCTCCAATTCCATATTTTCTTGAGCGTTGATTATCCGTGATTTTATATCCTTTCATCTCTTTAGGTGTTTGAAAAAAACTGATCATTTTCAATATTAATTTTAATTTTTACTTGTTATAAAGTTACAAATAAAACAACTTTAAAAACTTTTGTTTAACAAACGTAAGAAATTCAATAGAAAATCACTGAAAAATAGTTCACCTTAGTTTACTTAATTTTACTTTTTTTTCTCTTTTTAGGAATAATCCTTGTATCAAGAATGAATGACTGACTCTGAACTTTAAATGAAATTTCAGATTTTTGTTGTACATATACAGATTTAATTTACAAACTAACAATAAAGATTCAGTCAAGTAAGGTCTTATCAGTAAATGTCAAAACATCTAGTTATTTTAGAAAAAAAGGAACAAGCACTTTATTGATAACAATTTTTATGACCAAAATTTTATTTAGTATTTAATTCTATAATTTATTGAAATAATTTTAAAAATTGATTAAATAAAACAAAAAAGGCTTATCCAAAAAAATGATTTGAAGTTTTAAATGCTTTGTTTGTACACAATATATGAATTATAAAATTATCTGTATTTCTGCAAAGATGAATGTCATTATAAATTTGCTTTCAAGAGCATTGCCACGTCTAGAGAAAATTTGACACACTACGGAACGATTACATACTTGAAATTTAATCATCTCTTACGCATATATAACAATGCTGAAATTTTATAAAAATGAACCCTTTATTTTCTCAAAAAGTTAATTTTTCTATGTTTACAATATTTCAAGTGCAGTTTTATGAGCAAACAAAAAATTACCAAAATGAATTTTTAGATTTCGCTAACAAACATACTTAAATTACTTTTGATTTATTAAAATCCTTCATGGGAATGCAATATTGACTGAAGTAAATACGGAAACGCACAAAATAATTGTACACTTATTCTTAAATAAGTCGCATCGTGGGAGCCAAAAGTCAAACAGGCGTGATTCAAAAAATGTATTCCTTGTTGTTATCATTTTCTTGCCCTATAATTCCTATAAATGTAAATGATTGCGATTATATGACCTTAGCTAAAAGTTGTGTGATATTTATAACTTATTGCGAGAAAATGAAAATGTAGGTTTTAGGACTGATTTAGTAACTTTTTGAATTTTTTGAATTAATCATGTAAAGATTATGGTAAGATTTGCTCCAAAAATCAATAGCTCAAAGTGGCTTTAAACACCAGCAAAAATATACCTATATATATTTTTTTATTGTTCATTCACAGTTTTCAGAATCTTAGATATTTGTTTCAATATTACGAAACAGTTTCTTTCAATTTTTCTTTGGCATAAAAATTGTTTTAATAAAAAAAAATTCTTTATAAACATAGGGAGCATAAACAGCACTTGACTTTAATAAAATTACAAGGATTTCTCAAAATTTATGTTATAACACTAATTTTATATTAAAATATTAAATTTATAAAGCATAACATTTTAGTAATACATTATTTTATGTTTCTATTATCTAATAATATACAAACATTTGTAGACAACTTACAAAATAGTTTTTGACTTAATAAACCACCCACGTCTTCAAAGTAACCTTACCCATGAAAATTTCAAAAACTTCCACTGAAACTTCAAAATAAAATATAAACGTGATTGAGTTTGGTACTGAAAATATGACAAGTTTTTTTGCGATAAAAATAATGTGTGTTAGACCTCTTCCGTTTTTAGCCAAATTCATAATCCTTAGTGAGTTGTTCTTTAGTTAGCATAACCTTTAATTTTATTTTGTATTTATTATTTAATGTATTAAATATTAAGTATTAAATGTTATATCACATTATGCCAAATTCATGTTTTCGAAAGCAACAGATTGTACTAATATTCAGGCTACCAACATTTAAAAAAAAATATATATTTGACATTTTGCCTTCACAGTAATTTCTAATTAGGTGCTATTTGTACCCTTCTATTAGAAATGTCAACAAAAAAGAAGTTTTTAATAATGGAAAAGTAGAAAAATTTTTGTTTTCAATTAATTAACATGATTGAAACTTCAAAATACTCAATAAATGTGAATTAAAAAAAACTCAATAGTTATTAAAATTGATATTAAAATATATATTTAATTAATTGTAATATTCAGTATAATTATTGAAATTTATTAAGCAGGTGAAAAATAAAAATTTTCGGATACAAGTATATATGTTTCCCGGGGGGAAATACAAGAAGCAAATATTCAATATATTTTAGTTAAAATAGATTTTTCAAAAATCTATTTAGGAAAACGTTAAAAAGAGATTATACAAAATAAATTTTGTTATTTTGAAAAAAAAAAATTATGGAAATGCAGCTAAGAGATTTTGAGATATCCGAAAGCGATTCAGAAACAGAATTATTAATACATTCAGCTCGCGGATCACTACAAAGTAATAGTATTAGTGAAGGTAACACACCTTCAATCACCGGTCAATCAACAGTTAAACCTGGACAAGTTCGTTTGCGTAATGATAGAAATAGTGAAAGAATTTCATTGTTATTATTGCCACCAGATAAGGGACCATTGTTTAGTAAAAATCGTCGTAACAATACAATAACACTGGGGAAGTGCTGTAAATTACTGATTTGTGGGTGAGTAAATATGAATTTCTACAAAAATTTTTTTAATAATATTTACAATTATTTTTTATATAAATTTTTTTAAAGTTTAGCTTACGTGTAAAAAAAATTTGCATAAACTTAATTTGGTTTTGCAAATTTATACAAAAAATTTTAAGATGTTTAAAAAAAATTTAGATATTAATATTTTTCTTTAAAACAAAATAATTAATTTTTTCAATTTGTAGGCACATATTTTTCAAACGATATAAAATTTATGGCGTAGTTTTAAATGAAATTTTGTTATCGAAACTAGAGTATATACCTATCTACCTAACTACAAAAATCAGTGATGATATCATTCCATAGGAAAAAAAGTCATCAATGCTTGTTTGAAGCTATTTATAAGATTGAAAACTATTTTTGAAGGTATATAATAATACATACATTCATATTTATATATCAAAAAGCTAGCATATATGAAATTAGCAGTAGTCAATAATAATATTGCCATTAGATAGATAGTATTCTATAATCAATATTTGATTAATGAATTTTTTAAAATTAATAGAAGAAATAAGTACGATAACAAAATTTCTTGTAAAAGCAGGTTCTATAATTATTTCCTTATATTATATTGCTAATTAAACTCACATGTATCTACTGAGCAAAAGAAAAAGGAGATTAATTTATTTAATAATAAACGGAAGACTGGAGAAAAGGTATAAATACCTTTGAACAGTTGATAATATTTAAATGATTTTTCAATATATTTTGGGTCAATATTAAACCTTTATTGCAGTAATTAAAAACTTGAGCGAAAAAGAACTTAAGGCTGATTTGAAAAAAGTTCTAATTTTCTAATTTGATTTGATTCATTAACATTAATAACACATCTAGAAAGTTTTTAAGTCTTTTTAAAATTTAGGCTATGCGCTTATTAAAATTAGGGTAGAATTGGGTCACATAGGTATAGCATTATTTATGTTCGCTCAAAGAATATAAACAATAAAGAAATGTAATGAACTTTTATAACTATAAATTTTAAATTTTTTATTTGAGTTAATACCTACATATATGTATGTAGATAATAAGTAGTAAATATAAAATATTTATTGATTCTTGTAATTTCAAGTAAATGTAAGCACGCGTTAGCAATATTTCTCAGTGATTATACATAATAGAGTATTTTTTTATTTATCTAATCTGAATTAATTCGTCGTTACAGCGCCGAAAGCAAGTAGGGAGTTGTATAAATGAAATTTCAAATATATAACATGTAAATGTATTTGCATTGAAATGGAGAAATCTTCCTTTAATTCAAAAAGATACTTTATTTGTGTTAATATTCTATATTTCGTGTGCAACTAAACTTTATTTGTGCAACTAAAACTAAAATTTATGTGTACTTTTCGAATTAAAAGAATTTTCTTAAAGTTTTATATTTAAAAGTTTGTTGATTCAAAAAAATTATCAATTTATATATTTTATAGAATATTTTGGAAAGGCAGTTGCATATGTATATAAATAATCTATTTATTTTATACGGAGTTTTGCATATTATTGGAATGCTTCTTTATAGCTCGATTTAAAAAACAATATTTCTTGCTGAGACAAAAAAGGCATTCTTAACATTGTGTGCTTATCAAAAAATGAAGATTGAGAAGAAAAAAGATTTTCATCAATTTAAATTTTCAAACAGGAAAAATTTTAAATTTAAAAAACTTCAAAATATTGTACTGGCAGTCCTTTTTTTTTTTAAAAATATTAACAACATAATCAGAACAGTAATGCCAACTTCACTGACAAAATATAAAATTTGACAGTTGATTTTTTTACGTTGATGTCATTCATGTGTAAATTTTTCAATTGAAAGAGTTTATTGTTCATCACGTCTGAAAAAAAGTTAGGAAAAAAACTTTTTATTAAATTTAATTTCTTCAATGATTTTGTTGTGCAAAAGAAAAATAATTTTTAATTCAATTATGCAAACAACATTAATTTAATCCAAATTAAAGATAATTTTATCATAAGAACATAGAAATATTTTTTACATTTATAACAAACATTCTCAGTAAAAAATCATTCAAAATTGAAGTGTTTTATAGAAGTGAACGTAATACATCAATAATGGACGATTCTTCTACTGCCAGTGTACCAACAACTCCAATGGCAGTTAAAGAAACTGCCCCACTAATTAATCGTTCAAGAGATCGTGGGTATGTAAAATTTTAAAGGATTTTAGAATATTTTTTTATATGGAAGAAAAAAGATGATTCACCTCTTTTTTTTACTGATAAAAAAAACAGTGTTGTTCTATGTTTTGTTTGTCTTTTTTTTCCTGCCTTCGAATAACTTTATTGTAACAAAATATTGCCTTTACAAACCTAGGTGGGTATCTATCTATGTATGTACCTACATATGTATGTAAGTATAATGTAAGTACATACACAGGTACTATTCTATAGGTATATTAATTATTAAATATGTGCATATCGATTTTTTTTTTTTCTTAAAACGGAGTGAAAAATAATACGTAGAACATTAAATATAATTAATTAGAAAAAGAAAAAAAATACAAAAGAATTAAAGTAAAACTGACTGGTTAAACTAGGTGAATAGGATTATAATTATATAAGTATGTATGTTGGTGAAATGACCTAGAGAAAACTATCTGGAGAATATTGTTACTTTTATATTAACGTCAATTTATTGATTTTTCCTTAAAAAACAAAAATATGAAGTAATTTTAGTTGAAACTATGCATGTCGGTATTATGAACAGTATAAGATTTGCAAAAAAAAGGAACGGCCCCTTACCTTTTAGAAATAAGCTTCTTTACACCAAATTACTTTTGTCAATGTAGAAAATCAAAGGATAGCAAGAATTTTTTGTAGTAAATGTAATGTGAAATCTCAAATTTTGCACATTTCTGCATGTTTTTCTTTGTGAATTTTCTATTTCTTTAACTACATGTAGTTGGTTACATTCTTGTGACAGAAATAAAAAATGTGAATAAATATTAAATAAACAGAGGTACATTGAAAATTGTAAATGCAGGAACGTTTCTATGAAAATAGAGGAGTATTTAGTATTCAAGACTACATTTATGCATATCGTACCCATATATGTGTCTGCATACCCTATCCATATCCTATCAATAAAAAACAAAATTATGACAGAAACTAAACACTTATAAATATTAATAAGGTATCTACATACACTTATCTATACATTTTTATTTTGTGTATTACTATTGTCTAACCTACATACTTTTAATAACTTATGTTATATCAAGTAGATATACTTCGGTACATAGCTAAATTTTTATCCTTATATTAAATTAAATTGTTTGTTATAAAAACTTAAGTAAATAAGACAAAAATATATTAGAAAATAATCAGAATCTTCTATTTTATCTTTAAGCTGTTGGTGCTTGGCATGGAGAAAATGGTTTGCTGCGCCGGTATTACGTTCTCGCACCGTACATTTAGGCCGCACATCAGACGAAAAATTCCCACCGAATGAAATTCGTAATCAAAAATACAATTTAATAACATTTTTACCATTGGTGCTTTTCGAACAATTTCGGTTCTTTTTAAATTTGTATTTTTTGTTAATGGCTTTAAGTCAGTTTATACCAGATATTAGAATTGGTTATCCATATACATATTGGGGTCCATTATGCTTTGTATTGGCAGTAACAATTGGACGTGAAGCCGTTGATGATATAAGACGACATCAGCGAGATCATGAAGTTAATTCACAAAAATATAAACGTTTAACAACGAATGAAAAAGGTATTGAAATGATACCGTCATCAAAATTAAAAGTAGGTGATATTATCATTGTTGAAAAAGATGAAAGAGTACCAGCTGATTTAATATTATTAAGAACAAGTGATAAAAGTGGATCAGTTTTCGTTAGAACAGATCAATTAGATGGTATTTATAATACATCTCTATTAAAATATTTGCTAATTTATAATTTTTTTCAATTTAAAGGTGAAACGGATTGGAAATTGAGACTAGCTGTTCCCGTAACACAAAAATTATCTAATGACTCAGAAATTTTTAATATTGAAGCGAGTATTTATATTGAGAAACCGCAAAATGATATACATTCATTTATAGGAACATTTGCAATGGTAATCAAATTTGCAGTACATGTACATATAAATACATTTTGTTTATTTAAAAAAAATTTAAATTTAGCTTGAAGGTGAAGAATGTAGCTTAAATGTTGAAAACACTCTTTGGGCAAATACAGTAGTAGCTGCTGGAACAGCTACTGGAATTATTATTTATACTGGCAGAGAAACTAGAAGCGTAATGAACAACTCTTCGCCACGGTCTAAAGTTGGCCTGTTAGATATGGAGATAAATGGCTTGACAAAGGTATTTTAAAAAGCATTTTAAAACTGCCATTATTAATAATATTTTTGTTTTAGGTTTTATTTTGTGCAGTTTTAGGGCTGTCTTTAGTTATGATTATTTTAAAAGGTTTTGGAGGACCTTGGTACAGATACTTATTCAGATTTATACTGCTTTTTTCATATATAATTCCAATAAGTCTCCGTGTAAATTTAGACATGGGAAAAGGTTTTTATTCATGGCAAATGCAAAATGATCCCGAAATTGAGGGTACAGTCGTGCGTTCAACCACAATACCGGAGGAATTGGGCAGAATTTCTTATTTGTTAACAGACAAAACAGGCACTCTAACACAAAATGAAATGGTATTTAAAAAAATTCATTTGGGAACCGTTTTTCATGATACGGAAACATTTAAAGAATTTGCGCACACAATTGAAAAACTAAATTTTAGTCAGGGTAGTGTTCCTATTCTGCCCTCTAAACAGGGATTTGGAAATAGAATGCGGAGACCTGAAGGCTGGAGAGAATGGGAAGCTCTTAAGGCTTTAGCTCTTTGCCACAATGTAACCCCAGTCGCTAATGATGACAAAATTGATGGAAAAAAATGTGACAAACATAGTTCACCAACAAAAACAGTTATAAGTTTGGATAGTTCTAACGATATCAGTCAGAAAAAGAAAGAAATAACCTATCAGGCATCAAGTCCAGATGAAATTGCACTTGTAAAGTGGACTGAACAAGTTGGCTTGACATTAATAAATAGAGATTTGAATACGATAACTTTGAAATTGAATAGAAAAGAAGAAAAAACTCAAAAAAAAGTTGTTTATAATCCAGAATCGTCTTCACCTGGTAGTAGCGACAGCACTGCTAGTTTCAATTCTATAGCTGACCAAGATAATATCTTGAATTTTCAAATACTTCAAATTTTTCCATTCAAAAGTGAAACAAAGCGAATGGGTATAATAGTTAGAGATGTAAAATCTAATGAAATTACATTTTATTTAAAAGGAGCTGATGTTGTTATGTCGACTATTGTACAATACAATGATTGGTTGAGTGAAGAAAGTGGCAATATGGCTAGAGAAGGTTTGCGGACCTTAGTTGTTGCCAAAAAGGTACTAACAGAAGAACAATATAGTGATTTCGAAACACGATATAGTGCAGCTAAATTGAGTAAAACAGAACGTGCTACGAAAGTAGCAGCTGTAGTTGAATCACTTGAACGTGAAATGGAATTGCTCTGCCTAACAGGTGTTGAGGACCGTTTGCAAGAAAACGTAAGACCAACACTTGAATTACTTAGAAATGCTGGTGTTCGTATTTGGATGTTAACTGGAGATAAATTAGAGACCGCGTGTTGCATTGCAAAAAGTTCGCAATTAATCGGTCGAACACAAGGTTTACATGTTCTGAAGAGCATTCAAACACGTGCTGATGCACATTTGGAATTAAATCAATTCCGTAGAAAACAAGGATGTGCTCTAATCGTATCGGGAGAAAGTTTAGAAGTATGTTTACAGTATTATAGAACTGAATTTATGGAACTAGCAACTGCATGTCCAGCTGTTGTATGCTGCCGTTGTAGTCCAACACAAAAAGCTAAAGTTGTTGAATTAATTCAAAAACATACTGGAAAACGTACTTGTGCTGTTGGTGATGGTGGTAATGATGTTAGCATGATACAACAATCAGATGCCGGTATTGGTATTGAAGGTCGTGAAGGTAGACAAGCATCATTAGCTGGTGATTTCAGTATTCCACAATTTTCGTATATAGCCAAATTATTAGTTGTACATGGCCGTAGATCATATAAAAGATCAGCTGCACTATCTCAATTTGTAATACATCGTGGTTTAATTATTTCAATAATGCAAGCAATTTTTTCAGCTGTTTTTTATTTAAGTTCAGTAGCATTATATCAAGGATTTTTAATGGTCGGTTATGCAACAGTTTATACAATGTTTCCAGTTTTTTCATTAGTCCTAGATCAAGATATAACATCTAAAAAAGCTTTAAAATATCCTGAATTATATAAAGATTTATCAAAAGGAAGAAGTTTAAGTTATAAAACATTTTTTATATGGGTTTTAATAAGTATTTATCAAGGCGGCGTTATAATGTATGGTGCACTTGTATTATTTAAAGATGAATTTATCCATATTGTTGCGATCAGTTTTTCGGCTCTAATCTTGACAGAATTAATAATGGTAGCGCTAACAGTTATAACTTGGCATAGGTAAAAATTCAATTTCAATGTCAAAATCATATAAAGCAAGTGTAAATTTTCATTAATTGATTGTATTCTTTTTTTTGTTTTAGATTAATGATTTTGGCTGAAATATTTAGTTTAATTTTATATTTAATATCGTTAGCTGTTTTACAGGAATATTTTGGTAAGTTTTTTAACATTATTTTATAAATTTTAAATTTTAATTATGAAAATATTTCAACAGACTGGGAATTTATTTGGTCATTCGATTTCCTTTGGAAGGTTTCTGGTATAACACTTGTATCTTGTTTTCCACTTTATATTATTAAATTTTTACGAAAGAAGTTTTCACCACCATCATATTCAAAACTGTCATAAATATTTTATTTTCTAGTTTTTATAATATTTTTTTTTTATTTTCAAGCTTTATAATATAATAGTGATACATAATTTATGATTTTAAATGTACATAATTTTCTAATATATACAGAAAATACACATTTTATACATAATATTGTGAAAGGATTTTGCAAAGTTCTTTTATTAAATTTTTTGCTTATTTTAGAAAAAAGCTTTGTTAATTTGTTTTAAATGTGTACATTTATAAACTGTAAGATAAACAATATTAAAAAAATTGAAATGAAGAAATATCAAAAAAGTAATTTGAAAAAAAAAATACATGCACACACACTCATATTATAAATGCAATAACCTTTCACATTCAGTACATGAAATTCAGTCAATTGTTATAGTTATTGATGGGAAAAATAAGTATATAAATTAAAAAAATATCTAAAACATAAAATAAAGACATTTAGAAATTCTTTGCTCTTATTTGCTAATAATAACAATAATATTAACTATTTTATTTTAAATGTTTTATAAAAACAATTAATAAAGATCATAAAAGAAGCTTAAAATTGACAATAAATCTAATGTACAAAGCTAAAAATTATGACAAATATTAAGTAAAAAAAAATAATTTTAACAAACTATAGACTAAAGCGATTGTGTTTTTATTTTAACATACATATTGTGTTCTTTAGTAGTCTATTAAATAAAGAAGAAAAGAATGAAGAACAGCAACTTACTAGAAAAGTAGCTAAGGATGATTTTAATTTTAATGTTGCTAAATTTATGTATCTTTAAAATGTATTTTCAATAAAATTAAAATTATTTAAGATTTAAAAATAATATTGTAAATTATAGATATTGGGCCATTATTATTATAAAAAATATTATAATTTTTTATATGCGCAAAAAATCATGCTAAATATTTAAATTAGTGATAAACTTCTTGAAATAAAATGAAAATTTCTAAGCATATCACAAAATTAAAATGATCTTATTTTTATATAAAAAGTTTTCAAGTTCTTCATATTGGATAAAAATTCAAATATTAACTAGTTTACAAAATTAATATTTTTATCAATATTGATATGACATAAAATTAATAATTTGCAAATAATTTATAATCAATTTAATAAAATAATTGATTATTCATTCGAATAATTGTTTATTAATATTTATGATTGTGTCATATAGGTATCAAGTTCGGTTTTTATAATATTACAATAAACACCATATTTAAATCATATCGTCTTAAAAAAACTATATATTTTACAATAATAATTTTATACAATATAATTTTAGCAAAAAAAATTTAAATTAAAATAAAAATTCACTTAATTTGAGCAAAGCATTTTTAAGTGTATTTTAAGTATTAAGTTTTATGATAAAAAAACCAGAATAAAATCGAAAAAAATTAAATTAAATCAAAAATGTTGTATTTAAATCATATTTTTATAGAACATTTAATTAATAGTAATTCCGAAGTAATAATTTTTATGTTCTCTTTTTTTTATTTCATCTTTTTAAAAAATTAACTCTTTAAAAATAATAATAATAATTATTATAATAAGCATTTAAATAATGGAAATATAATAATGCAAAAAAAAATTTCAAATAAACATTTCAAAATCGGCTGATTTTATAAATTAGTAATTAATAAAAAAAACTATATATATATATGAACAAATTCTTGATATCTTCCTAAATATTGAAAAAAAAACAACTGAAAAAAAATATATTATTAATATTATGTATATAAATAAATAGATAAATAAAAAATATAAAAAAAAGAATAAAAGTGAAATTCGTGATAAAATTTATCGCTTTATTAACAATTTATAAAAATTATAATTTACAAATAAATTCCTGTATTTTTATTACTTATGTTTTTTGTTTATAAGTCAAATACAATTTATGCAATCTACAAAATATACACTCAAAGAAATAAAAATTGTGGAGTATACCAAAATGTGTTATAATATAAGTTCATTATTACTTTAAGTTTAATTTTTATTCACTCTTGATTTAAACAATAAAAAAAACAAATTAATTTAAAATTAAAAGTAAATTTATATTATTAATAAAAGAATCTATTGCAAAAAATTTGCTTCATAATTAATCAATCACAACCTCTTTTACTATTTCTTTTTGTAATTTTTAAAATTTAAGGCTATAATTGAAACATAAATAATATTTTCGTACATTCTGTTAGTCGCATCACTTGACGTGTTGGATTATTATTCAAAAATATTGAAAAATTATTTTCTCAATAAAATTAATTCTGAAATTTGAAAATCTATAATGAAAAACAGCCTATTTTTCAATAATATCCCATCACTTTAAGTGAGACGACTAACAGAAAATAGGTAAAAATTTTACTTTTCATAAAAAGAAAAATAGGATTCAAAAAAAAATTTTTTTTTTAATAATTTCCCTTATTTTCGATTTTGTCATTAAAGTCTATGCAAAATTAATAATTAAAATGTAAAATTAATAAAAAAATCAATATAAGTACATGAGTTATTAAAATTATAGTGAACAATCTACTGAAAAGCTAAATAATATATTAATATAAATAACAATAAAAAAACAAAAGAAAAAAAGGAACAAAATTAAAAAATAAATACACAAAAAAAAAGAAAAAGAAATATAATTAAACAAATAAAATTAAAACAATGAAGAATAAGTGAAAAAAAAATCTTGTAAATTATTAACATTATTATTGACTATATTTTATTAAATTTTAAGCAAATAAAAGAAAAATTATTTATAAAATTAATTAACAAAAAAATTTCGCTTTTGTTTTTTAATCGATTGGTCATGGAAATCAGATGAATTTTAAGAGTGTAATAAAATTATTTTGATTTCTTAAACGGAAATTTATTATTATAGCAAGAGGTTTCCAAACCAACTTGTGAAAATATAAAAATTTTCAAATCAATGCTATTTTCATCTTTGCAGATCTATAATAGCTATAAATAGTTTACTTTTTAAGACTTGTTTCTATTTAATTTTTTTTAAACTTAAAGTGTTTTTGCAGTATTTAAAAATAATATTTAGAAATGCTTTGGAACTTTCAGGACACTGCGATTATCAATTTAAAGAGTGCTTCTTTTGTAGTAAAAACTTATCGAGCATGCTATATATTTGAAGATTTTTTAGATTTATTTATCGAACAAGCTTCATATCAAGATCTCAGTTAGAATTTAATTTTTGAAAAATCCCGAGATTCTTCCGGCATATTCATAATCGTAGAAAAATATGTGCAGTCGTCATTCAGACTTTTTTTTTATTGATGTTGAGGAACAAAAAATATTGTTGAGCCGATTAGAAAAGATTGTCCAAATTTTTTAAATTGTGCATTAAAACTTATACTGGCGAATTTTTGGTGTTAAGGGACGCTAGTGTTACTTTTTTAATGTTGCAGTTTTTTCTCAGATTTCAGTTTAGGAATATAAATTATGAAAAACTGTGCAGATTCTGCTATATTCGGAGTGGGAATACGTGTTCGGCTTTCCATGTTTTCATTCCAAAATTATTTTCTCTTAAATCGCACTTTTCGTAATCAACATTGAATGTTTTTAATATTTTCTTACTTCCCTATGCAAAGAATTCAAAATATTAAATTTGTCTGAATTTGCATGTAATAAATAATAATCACGTATGTGTACTATGGTTAAGAGTTAATATTTTTATTAGCTGGCATTTTAATTTTTAAAAAAGGCAAGGCTTATAACATTTTCACTGTACATATTAAGAGTTAACAATTTATAAAGTAAAAGTTTTGTATTTACTGATAAATACATATGAATATGTTTACCTCACAGAGTAGGTGTTCTAGATTTTCACATTTTAGTATTGTTATATAAAGAACTATTCATGGATAGTAAAAATCTATAATGCTACTCAACTGGTAGCACACAGTCCTGTATTACAGAACTAAGCTTTATGTATTTTCATTTAATAATTTAATTTGTATTAATTTATGTTAATCACTTTTCAGTCAATTCAGTGTAAGCATTCTTTATGTTTGATTATTCAAAATTTTGTATTTTTTCATACTTCAAAATATACCTCGTCAAACTCTAACTAGCTGTGCGTTATTTCGAATTTTCAAATTAAAATCTTCTATAGACCGTCTTAAAGGTTATACTGTTTTTATTATGCAGAACACTCAAAACACAGGTTTTTAATTTTTAGAACAAAAATGTTCCATGGAATGTCTTAAAGATTAAACACGATGCATTGCAATCTGTTTAGTAACTAGATATTGCATTATAAACTATAAAAAGATGTATAAAAAGTTAGATTTAGAGAAATGAAAACTGTGATTATTGTGAAATAAGTGCAATTTTGTAATTTTAATTTTAAAATTATTTTTAAGAAAATATTTTGGTTTTACAAGAAAAATTTATCCCATTCTTATTTTAACAATTTTCTTTTCTGCCTACAGTCAAGTTGGCATTCTAAAAAGTACTTACTTATCCAACTTAAGAAAATTTGTATTACGAGTATGTACCAGAATAGCTGAGAGCAATTCTATACTGAAAATTTCTTCAAACATTTTTGAATTTACTCTTTATGTTATTGCGCATATCTATATTTTGGAAAAGAATAAGAATCTTGGAAATTTGAATTTGGAAAAACTAAACATTTTTAGTTAGTTAGTTAGTTAGTTAGAGAGGGGAGGTGACACCCTCAACCCTGCGAAACGGCACTGCGCCAGTGGATGGCCCATTGGCACAGAGCCACACTTCTCCTTGCTAAATTCATGGAAATCTCTTGAAAATATTTAGCAGATCACGCATAGGCGCCTGTAAGAGCTCCTTCAATCCGACGAACCAATATCCTCCCGAAATGCATCTCCTCCTCCGCATCAAAGTGGGGCGCTTGTAGAACACGAGACACACATCCTCCACCATTCTGATGTCATGGTATCTCCGGCAAATATCCGATAAAGAAATATTCAGCCTATTAGCCATCTTTCCTAATAAACAGTGTTCCGTTCAAAAACCAACAGCAATACTGATATTTCTCCCCCTTGATTTATAAAATTTTAAACAAATAAATTGTATACACTATTGGTGAACATATCAAAAAAATTCAAAATATTTGTCTTTATAATTGTAATTCACTGTGTTCATGGTCTGGAAACGAATTAAAAATTCTGCTGTCTATTAATTCCATTTTAAATAGTCATATCCCATCCCATCTTATGACTTTCCACATTTTATATTATTGGCAACATTCCAGGTCTGCTTTAATTTTATGAGATATACTTTTTTAATAACGATATTTAAGTGCACAAAAAAGTAGGATTTACCTTGCATAATTTTTTTGTCGTTATGGACTGCAGAAATGATTTTTTTTTGAAAATATAAAATGATGTATGAATAATACTACTTAATCTATGTGTGTATGTGTTCTTTAAGTATATAAATTAGTGCAATAAATTGTTTTTTTTTTTTTTTAATTTTGTATCCTTTGAACTTGATTTTGAAAAATGAGTTGTTTTATTTTTCTCTTAAATTACGTTGTGCAAGACAAATTTAAGTATTCGTGAGATGAAAGATACTTTTAATAGGTGTTCAAATATCCATATAAGTATAACATACTTGTAAATATTTTTATTTTTTAAATTAATTTGATTTATTATTAGTGATAGGCAAATGCAGGTTAGAACAGAATTTTTCAGAAAACTTGTATTCACGTTATTGTATTGTATGTAAAACTTTCTCAGTTTGTATTAAGAATCCGTTTAAAGTAAACCCCCATAAAACTAGTTTTACCCTGTACTATAATTTATTTGTATTCGTCAAACAAATGTTTTTTTTGGGCCATACATAAAAAATATTGAGTTAAATAAAAAGTAATGATGGACGTATTCATATTTTTAAAAAACTTAATAAATAATCTGCGCATATGTATGAATGGACGCGACATACCTAGAATAAAACAAAATTATAAAAGTAATATTCTTGTTTGAGACATTGATCTCTCAAAACATTTAAATAAGTTCATATATTAGCACAGCCATATCATATATATAAGAAAAAAAATTATTTTTCAACAAGATTGTAATTGCCACCTCCATAAAAATATCAATGCCCTTTTTACAAAAATAATTATCGTGATTAAATTTTGTGCTATTACTAAGGAAATTTTTTTTTAAATTTTTTTTTTTAATTTTGTGTTGTCGTAATTCTTCCGTCTTTACACACTTATCATAAAATTTTTTTTTAAATACAATAAATAAGATACAAGAGAGATGAGTATAAGTTGATTTGGCATCATCATATAGTATATATAATACTCCTTTAAAAATAAATCACGGAAATTGACAATTAATCTGTAATGTTTTGCTTTT